CACCGGAGTAGTTGCTGGTAACGCGGAAGCTGCACACACCCGAAAAAGGCGCGAAGCAACGGGAACCCCACCTCCTGCACTCGCCAGCTGGGCTCTGCTCTAGGAAGGAGGCAATGGAAAACCACTTCCGAAACACCTTGCCTTGAAACCGGCAGGGACTTGTCCAGGCAGTCGCCGCAGAATCGGTAACAATTGAGTGCGGATAAAAAAAAAAAATTCAGGTGATCAGCTTGGCTTTGGCTTTCATTGGAAAATTCCCCTCCCCAGATAATGTTAACATAAAGGAGGTTTCTGTATTTTAGGACATAGGGCAATATCAAATATAAGCTGTCCTGTATGGACAAAATGTCATACAACAATGAGAGTCAAGACATTGTATGGCAGGGCTTTATATTGTTATGGCAAGGAATGTGGTCCACAAAGATTGGCTAGTGAGCAAGTACACAAAATAAAAATATAAGAAGAAATGCAAAAATGATTTACTCAACAGTGGAAGTTATTTAACCATCCAGCCATCAGCTGGAAGGCAAGCGTGTTAAACATCATCATCTTAGCTTCTATAAAATAAACGTCTATCAGAAATCAGTAAACATGTCAGCAAGAGTAATTTTGTAAATTTGTTTTACTTAGACTATCAAAGAGATTTTGACAAAAGTTCCTCACTAAGCAACCTTGAGTAAACTGTTACAGGGTGCATAGCCAGTTACCAGCTAGCTTGCAGTAGCTGTCCACCTAACCCACAAATGTCTTATCTCATTGGGTCTCTGTCCCCCAGCCTCCTTTTCTCCACATACCTAAACCACTTCTTCTGATTAGAGCAGAAGGAAATGATGAACTGCTCACTAAAGGGATTATTAGATAAAGCTCCTAATTTTGATGAGTGCCTTCATGATCAAACAATAGATCATGAGCAAGGATTTGCAATTGCATGAAATTTTGTTGTACCTCCACACTTTATATGGATTCAGAACTTCCATTTCAACACAGTTGCTCAAAGACACCCATCCCCAAGCCAAGTAGTTTATTGCTCTGTTAATAGTTGGTCTATTGCTAGTGAACTTTAGTCAATGTTTGCTTCTCCTGGGCAGCTGCATCCATGGAAAGAGTTGCAAAGAAAAGAAGACAGAGAATAGAGCCACAGGCAAAACAAATAGAAATGAGAAGAAATTGGGAGATAAAAGAGAAAGTTGTCTAGAAATGCCCTAGGACTTCAGTAGAGGTTGTGTTTTTTTTAATCTGTTGCAAGGTGGAGGCAATTTGGGCAAGTTACTGCTGGGAATAGAAGGGCTATTATCTCCCAGACAAATGCTAGAACAGCCTCTCCCAAGAGCATTCTCCTTTCATAAGAAAGCTTTATATCTCTGTCCAGAATGTGGGCGAATGGGTTGAATGGAATATGAATAAGATTCTGGTTTGCAGCTCCTGACCTGTTTACAGCCAATTCGTTTTCACATCAAAATAGATCTCCCACTCCTGAGTTACTGGATAAAATTAAGGATCAGTAACTGGCTAGAGAACACAAAGTGGAAAGTAGGGGGAAGGGGTAATTCCCACGATGGAAAGATATAAAAAGTGCCCCAAGGATCTTCAGTGGAACAGCCTTAAAATGATATGTGTTCTTCAATGTCAGGAACTGTTAAGATATATACATGGAACAATAACAATATACACCCATACACCCATACATGCATACAAACCTAAGCTTTCATATATTCAAATCTGGGGGTGGGGGAGCAAAGGAAATTTTAAGGTGTTGTAAGATATCTCAACAAAATGTTGCACTTGTGCATGACTGCAATGAAAAAAGCAAATTCTATTTTGGACGGACTAAAACCATCTACAGATTACAACTGGGAAACATGAGAAATGAAGTCCAATACATTAGCCTGGTATCATTCTAGGAGTGGCTGATATACTGTATGGTATGCATAGTTTTCAATTTAACATAATAGTGGGGAAGAGGGATTTTGGTTGGTTACATAATGAGACCAGCCATCTTTGTTCTGATGGTGGTCCTATGAGTGTTGTGCTGCTATTTTATGGGCCATGCCTTCCAGAACAAAACTGTGGCCATGTTGGTTCAATATAGGTTCAAATAATATAAATCAAATATTCTGATGCTTTCAAGAGATTCTGATTCTGAAGAACCTTAACAATTCACCTCTTAACCTTTTAAAAACATTAGTTGCATTCTTTTATTTTTATTTTTATTTTTTTAAATTTGTATACACTCAAGAATGTCATTCTTCCTTTTCTGTCTTTCTTTGAGACGATGTTAACATCTTTGTAAAATCTGTAAATGAAGCTGGGGAATTGCA